GGCTGGAGAATGAATGCCTCATACTGAATATCCTGCTTCTATCTTTTATACCCATCTAGTGCTGGGATTAAAGGCATGTGATCTGCCACTTTTTATACTGATTCAATCTCTTGTATCCCTGGGTGGCCTTGAACTCATAGAGATCTGACTGCCTCTTAATCCTGAGTACTAGGATTAAAGGTGTGTACCTCCCAATCATAAGGACCTGAGTTTGGATCCCTGTAACTCACTTTTTATCTCACTGGTGCTCTCTTTCTTGCTCATGTGTAAGCATGTATGCAACACCACGCATGTGGAGGTCAGAGGACAACTTTGGGGAGTACTTTTCTCCTACCTTGTGGTTGACAGGGATTGGATTTAGTCTTCAGGCTTGGCAGTAAGCACTTTTACCTCTGACCACCTGGCAGGCCCCAGAACCCATGTAAAAAGCCAGGCACAGTGGCTTTAACTACAATGAAGGTAGGGAACAGGGAAGAGACAGATGACCTCTGAAGTTCTCTGGCCAGTTAGTTTAGTAATATCAGTGAGGCTCCAGTTCACTGAGGCACCTTGTCTCAAAGGATAATAGTGGAGTAGAATTAGGTACAGACATCTAACATCAACCTCTGGCCTCTACAAATTTGTACCTACAAGTACGTATAACACTCATCCCAAATTGAAAAAAAATGAACAGAAAGGCTTAGATTCAAAAGTAAACCCTGCCCATCTGTCTCACTCCAAGATTTCAGCAGTTCAAAGGGCATATTGCTCAGTAAATTTTATACTCTGTAAGTACATGAGCATAGACTAATATTTTCCTTTGTTCCTCAAATGACATCAAACCCAGTCCATTATTTCATGATCTATTTTCTCAAGGATATCTTTCCATATTAGCACATCACAGATTTTCCTTATTAGCAGCTGTGTTTTTTCATTGAATAGACATATTACCATTCAATTCCCTTTGCTCTTGTATGTTTTTCTTTTGGTTTTTCGAGACAGGGTTTCTCTATGGCTTTGAAGGCTGTCCTGGAACTAGCTCTTGTAGACCAGGCTGGTCTCCAACTCACAGAGATCCTCTGCTTCTGCCTCCCGAGTGCTGGGATTAAAGGTATGCACCACCAATGCCCAGCTCCTGTTGGATATTTTATGCTATTATGTAATTTAGAAACAATCTTATTTTACATATCAATCCCAGTTCCCTCTCCCTCCCATCCTCCCACTGACCCCCCCATCCCACTCCGCAGGGAGGGTGAGGCCTTCCATGGGGAGAATCATCAAAGTCTGTCAAGTAGCCCTCCATGGGGAATGGGCTCCCAAAGTCCATTTGTGTACTAGGGATAAATACTAGTTCCACTGTCAGAGGTCCCATAGACTGCCCAGGCCTCCTAACTGACACCCACATTCAGAAGGTTTGGATGGGTCCAATGCTGGTTCCCCAGCTTTATGACTGGGGTCCGTGTGCTTTTTTTTTTTTTTGAGACAGGATTTCTCTGTGGCTTTTGGAGGCTGACCTGGGACTAGCTCTTGAAGACCAGGATGGTCTGAAACTCACAGAGATATGCCTGCCTCTGCCTCCTGAGTGCTAGGATTAAAGGTGTGTACCACCAATGCCCAGCTACATTTTATTTTTTAAAGAAATTGTTAGACTCCTGCCAGGGAACCAAATCAGTGTCTTTTTCAGCCATCATTGAAGAAATTTCCTCCTACAGTGGATAAGAACAAAAATGAGCTAGTTCATATGAACTCAGAGACTAAAGCAGCAATCACAGGGGCTACAATGGGTCAGCACCAGGTCCTCTGTGTATATATTATAGCTTTCAGTTTAGTGTTTTTATGGGACTCCTGAGTGTGTAAATGAGTGGGTCTTGATTACTGTGCCTTGTCTTTGGGCTCTTTTCCTTTTGTTGGTTTGCCTTTTCCAATATTGATGTGGTGGTTTTGTTTTATATTTTATTTTGTTATGTTTTGTTATTACCTCTTAGAATCCTGCTCTTTTCTAATGAGAGACACAAAGGGAGTGTATCTAGATGGGGGGGGGAGAGGTACGAAGGAACTAGGAGGTATAGAAGGAGGGGAAACTGTAATCAGGATATATTGTTTGAGAAAATAATCTATTTCCAGCCTCCCAAGCGCTGGGATTACAGGGATTACAGGTATAACCACCATGACTGCCTTCATGATCTAGCTTTTCAGTTTTCTCTGTGGCACATTCCTATACTTTCTTGACAAGCCGAGATCAGCCTTCTCATTGTAAATATTCTCTCTCTCTCTCTCTCTCTCTCTCTAGTTTTTCAAGACAGGGTTTCTCAGTGTAACATCTCTGGCTGTCCTGGAACTCACTTTGTAGACCAGGCTGGCCTCAAACTCACAGAGATCCACCTGCCTCAAGGATAATTTTGTTTTGTTTTGTTTTGAGAGACAGGGTTTCTCTGTGTAGCTTTGGCTGTTCTGGAACTTAACTCTGTAGACCAGGTGGGCCTTGAACTCATAGAGATCTGCCTGTCTCTGCCTCCCTGAGTGCTGGGATTAAATGTGTATAACACCATCACTTTTTAATACACTGGTATTTACAAGTCTCTTATTATAGATCTTAAGATTCTTTCGATCAGAAACTACATGTTCTCTATTAGTTTTTAATTTTATTTTTCTTTTTCAGTTCAGAGTTTCTCTGTGTAGCCCCAGCTGTCCTGGTCTTGAATTCAAGAGATATGCCTGGGATCAAAGGCATGCACCACCACACCCAGCTATGTCTCACACTGCTTAATAGAAATAAGTATAAATATACTAAATACTTAATAGAAGTAAATATAATAAAAAAAAGAGGCCATGAATTTGAGAGAGTGGGGGAGGGCTCATGGGAAGGGTTGGTGGAAGGAGGTGGAAAGAAGAAATTATGTAACTATATTTTAATAAAAGATAAAAATAAATCTAAGCCCAGAGATGGTGCATGCCTTTAATTCCAGCACTAGGGAGGCAGAGGCAGGTGGATTTCTGTGAGTTTGAGGCCAACCTGGTCTACAAAGCAAGTTCTAGGACAGTTAGAGCTGTTACAGAGAGAAACTCTGTCCCAAACCTCCCTCCAATAAACAAACAAATAAATAAATGAGCAATATAAAATGAGTACCATGTGTCATGTGTTGGTGGCACACTCCTTTCATCCCAGCACTCAGGAGGCAGAGGCAGGCAGATCTCTGTGAGTTTGAGGCCAGCCTGGTCTACAAAGCGAGTCCCAGAACAGGCTACAAAGCTACAGAGAAACCCTGTCTCAAAAAACAAAACAAAAACAAAAAACCCAAAATAATAAAACAAAAACAAAAGAATATGATTACCCATCTAATCTCACAAGTCAAAATTCTAGAAACCTTTTCTAGTCTTCCTTTTCTGTCCCAAGTGCTAGTGTTATAAAGTGATGTTGATTACACCCCTTTCTGAAGATGTCTCAATGCCACCACCACCCCTATGTTAGGCTCCACTCCCCTTAGCCTGAACTACATTTTTTTCTTCCTTCCAAATCACTCAACACACCAATGTCAGTATTTTAAAAACTTTTATTATAAAAATAATACACACTAAAAATGCAAATGATACAGAAATAAAAGCAGAATATTCACTCAGTATACATAAACTAAATGAACCACCTCCTCTCCATTCCTATCCCCACAAGGTTCATTCTGAACAATTTAACATATACTCTTTCAGATCTTTTCCTTTGCACATACAAGTATATACAAACATATCATATACACCTGATTTTTGACTCATACAAATGGGATCATACACTTCTATTATTTGACTCAATTTCTATCTTCAATATTCAGAAAGTTTCTGAAACAAATCTAATGTACTTCTCTAGACTTTATTTCCTTAAATAAAAAATTCACTCGCTGGTATCAAATGAAAATTTCTCTCTCTCCCTGTTATTGTTTTTTTGAGACATGGTTTCTCTGTGTCCTGGCTGTCCTGGAACTCACTTTGTAGACCAGCCTGGCCTCAAACTCACAGAGATCCACCTGCCTCTGCCTCCCAAGTGCTGGGATTAAAGGCGTGCGCCACCACCTGGCTCAAATGCAAAGCTCTTGAAGATATGCTTCCTGTCCGTCTTTCAGTGTCATGTCTAGTCATTCCAGCATCCTTTCTGAAACAAGGCAGGTACAAACAAATAAGGAATACATTCTGTCATATCTAGACTTTGAACATTTCCCTTCATGATAACACCCTACCTGGACTTTTTGGGCTGGTACACTCCTACCAATGACTTCAACAATCAGCTTTCAGGTGGTCTCTGGAAGGCTTCTCTGCTTTTCCACACATGACCTCTTTTCAATTTTTCTTTACACTTTACAGCTAAGCTTCTTAATTGTACCTGTCTTACAGTTCTATAATTTATAAACATGGTTTGAATTCCACTCTCCCTCCCCCAACTTGATGACAAGCTCTTACTTAGACCTTTGCACTCCAATGATTTGATAGAGTGCTTGGCATGGAACAGCTACACAGTAATACATCGTTAGGATTTCATGATTTTAAGAACATTTGCTGAGTAGCTACTTTGCATAAAACCACATCTTAAGCAAAAAAAGAAACAAAAGATAGTCTTTGCCCTAAGAAGCTTACCATTTACCCATAATTTTTCCTACGGCAGAGGAGAGCACATTTACATGGACACCTATCATTTTGGATACATAGGCTGTTTCAAAGATTTATAGTATGTCCCTGTTATCTATTTAGGAACAAGGTACTGTATATCCAAATAATACAGTTTGTCCAATATGTTTGTATTTTAGGCGTGGCAGAGAGCCAGCCCATAAGTACCTAATTCTCTATTCCAGCCTGCAAATTAGAAAGTGAAACGGTGCCATGTTTATATACCAACAGCAATAAATGGCATTAAAGGAGTGTAATGGGGAAGAGTGAGTCTGCTCTCTCTTCTTGGCAGTGATTAGGGGAAAGAACTTGCTACTCCAGGATCTGGAGAGATGATTACTATTTACTTATTACTAAAGCTAAAGTGGTAATCTGGTGATATCATTATCAGCTACTATGCACATATAAATAAGCTGGGGAAAGGTAATCAACCTAGGCTGACTGAAGAGGCTTAAAGGAAGCCTCATTCATCAGAGTCCATGTCACTGTCTCCAGCAATGGAATGGAAATCCTCACTGTCCTCCTCGTCCTCAGACAGGTGGACCTGGCTTAGTACGCTGGGCCCAGAGCGCTGCTCTTCCTCATCTTCTTCCTCCTCTGATACCTCATACCCACCGATGCTGCTGAAGCTTGTATCCTGGGTGTTCGATTTGGGATCAGGTTCCTCATAGCTCCCATAACTGAGAAGAGAAACGACATCTCTCAAACTTGGGAACCTGACCATCCCCACGCTTTGTACTGACAAGGGATCAGCTCATCTCAACCTCCCCGGGACACAAAAATAATAGGTTCTTGACTGTTCCACAGGCCCCTAAGAAAAAAAATGATCCCATTTAAACACATCAACTTGTCGACTTTATACACATGAAAACCTGAAATAAACTTCCTGACACTGACCAACCAACACACATTACCAGCTAACATGACCACAAATGCTGTCAAGCTCTACTGTTTCATCCAGTACTTAGTTTTACTCATCTATGTATCCAAAATTGGGAAGTAGCCCTGAATAATCTAACCTGTCTTGTCTCTATTACCTCCTTTTTATTCCTGCTGCCTGCTGTTGCTTAATCCTGTGTTAACTACCCTGGCCTGCACTACTGAAATAAGTCTTCATGGCCCTAGTAATGAGTTCCTTCTGCCAGAGTATTCTATTTTTTGCTTGTTTATTCTAATTTTATTTCTGAAAAAAAATCACAAATGCATATTCGCTGTTAAAAAATTAGAGGATAGCTGGGCGTTGGTGTGCACGCCTTTAATACCAGCACTCCGGAGGCAGAGGCAGGCAGATCTCTGTGAGTTCAAGACCAGCCTGGTCTACCAGAGCTAGTTCCAGGACAGCCTCCAAAGCCAAAGAGAAACCTTGTCTCAAAAAAAAACAAAATTAGAACATATAATAGGAAAGAAAAAGGGGGGATCAGCAATATTTCTATCATGCAGAGATAATTTTGGCAGAGATATTTTTACATATGACTTATACATTTATAATACTTAAGTATTTTTTAAAATATTTTATTTATACATTATGTATACAACATTCTGCCTTCATGTATATCTGCACACCAGAAGAGGACACCAGATTTCATAACGGATGGTTGTGAGCCACCATGTGGTTACTAGAAATTGAACTCAGGACCTCTGGAAGAGCAGTCAGTACTCTTAACCTCTGAGCCATCTCTCCAGCCCCCAATACTTAAGTATTTTATATTTAAATATAAACACTTGCCAGGAGTATGAGCCACCATGTGGTTACTAGAAATTGAACTCAGGACCTCTGGAAGAGCAGTCAGTACTCTTAACCTCTGAGCCATCTCTCCAGCCCCCAATACTTAAGTATTTTATATTTAAATATAAAAACTTGCCAGGAGTAGTGGTGCATGCCTTTAATCCCAGCCCTCGGGAGGCAGAGGCAGGCAGATCTCTGAGTTTGAGACTATCCTGGTCTAATAGTGAATTCCAGGACAGCCAATGTTACAAAGAGAAAACCTGCCTTGAAATAAATAAGTTAATTAATTAAAATAAAATAAATAGCCGGGCGGTGGTGTCGCACGCCTTTAATCCCAGCACTCGGGAGGCAGAGGCAGAGGCAGGAGGATCTCTGTGGGGTGGAGACCAGCCTGGTCTACAAGAGCTTATTCCAGGACAGCCTCCAAAGCCACAGAGAAACCCTGTCTCAAAAAACCAAATAAATAAATAAATAAATACATAAATAAATAAGATACTCATTCCTAGAAATTTGCTTTTTTGAATGATTATAACAAACACTGACATCCTTCTATGTCAATAAATACAGCTCTACTGTTGTAGAATATTAGTTTAAGATGTGTTACCTTCGAGCCAGGCGGTGGTGGCGCTTGCTTTTAATCCCAGCACTAGGGAGGCAGAGGCAGGCGGATCTATGTGAGTTCGAGACCAGCCTGGTCTACAAGAGCTAGTTCCAGGATGGCCTCCAAAACCACAGAGAAACCCTGTCTCGAACCCCCTCCCCCCAAAAAGATGTGTTACATTCGTTTATGCTGTGGAATACTTGTTTAATGATGTAAAAATGTAGTGTATTCTTTTGTGTTGCACTTCTTTAACTCTGTAAAGCTGTGTTATTTTGTCTGTCTGAAATACCTGATTGGTCTAATGAAGAGCTGAATGGCCAATAGCTAGGCAGGAGAGAGAAATATGTGGGGCTTCCAGGCAGAGAACATAAACAAAAGAGTGAAGAGAGAAGAGCAAGTAGTGAAAAAAGGAGAAGAGGACAGCAGGAACCAGTCACCCAGCCACACACAACCAGTCATAGAGTAAGAAGGAAAGAAAGGTATACAGAATAGAGAATGGTAAAAAGCCCACAAGTAAAATGTAGAAGAAGAGAGATGGGATAATTTAAGTTAATTATTAAGTTAATAATTAAAAAATTAAGTTAATTTAAATCTAGAAATAAGCCAACCTAAGCCTGGGCATTCGTAAGGAAGAATAAGTCTCTGTTTTGGGAGCTGGATGGCAGGCCTCCAGACTTAAAAAAACAAAACAAAAGAAAACCCAAACAACCAACCAACCAACACAAAAAAAACAAGTACACTCTATAGCATAACTCTTTGAGACAGTCTAACTATTCAGTTCCAAATAGCCTCAAATTTGTGATTCTCCTGTCGCAACTTTCAAAGTGTAGGGATTACAGTGCGCCAGACTTAACAGCTGAATGATATTCTGCTATATGGCTGTACAGATTTATTTAATAGTCTTTTACTAGTACATTTAGCTGTTTCTGATTTCATCATTAGATATAATGGGCTGTGATAAAAATCTTTGTACATCATTTTTGTTTGTTTGAGACAATATCTCACTATGTAGCCCTGGCTGTCCTAGAACTGGATATGTAGACCAGGCTGCCCCAGAACCATAGTGCTCTGCTTCCTTGAGTACTGGGATAAAGGGTGTGTGATAGGCTCCAAAGCTACACAGAGAAACCTTGTCTTGAAAAACCAAAAAAAGAAAAAAGAAAAAAAAGAAAGAAAAAAATAAGAAAAAAAAAGGGGGGGGGAAGCAGGAGCACTGATTGCTCTTCCATAGGTTCTGAGTTCAATCCCCAGCAACCATCTATAATGAAATGTTGCCCTCTTCTGGCCTGCACACCTACATGCAGGCAGAATGCTATATACATAATAAGTAAATTTTTTAAAAAAGGTGTTATTGTTTCCTTCTCTAATCAGTTTTCCTCTTCGTCCCTCTCCATGCCCCAGAAAAACCCTGAGGTTGCCTTTTATGTTACACTGCCTGTTAACCTGTTTTGTAATTCCTTCTTAAAGGAGGGAAACCCAAAGTTTATTTTTGTTTGTACTTATGATAACTATATAAAATATTTTATGTAAATCCAACATGTCTGAAGCCAAAATCATTTTCCCATCCTTTTTTCCTCAATGAAATTCTTATTATTGACTTAACTCCCAAAGTCAACTGAATACTGCTATTTTTCTGTCCCATCTGCCTTTAAAAGTTACTTAACATACTAATGCTACTTTCTCTTCCTATTTTGTTTAATGTCTCATGTAACCCTGCCTGACTTGGAACTAACCCTATAGTTGAAGATTAACTTTTTTGTTTGTTTGTTTTTCGAGACAGGGTTTCTCTGTGTAGCTTTGGAGCCTATCCTGGCACTCTCTCTGAAGACCAGGCTGGCCTCGAAGTCACAGAGATCCACCTGCCTCTGTCTCCAGAGTGCTGGGATTAAAAGCATGTGCCACTAACACCGACTGAGGATTACCTTTAATCCCTGACTTTCCTACCTGTACCTTGAAAAGTGTGTACAGGTGAGCTTTACTACACCCAGCTATTTTGTTTGTTTTTCGAAAGAACCTCAATACATAGCCCAGGTTTGTGAGGTTTTTTTTTTTTTTTTTTTTTTGGACACAGGGTTTTACTGGCATGGACCTCACTATGCAGACTAGGCTGGCCTTGAATTTAGAGATCCACCTGTCCCTTCTTTGGCAGGCACCATCACGCCTGGCTAGCCTTGAATTTAGGATCTTCCTATCTTATGCCCTAAATACTGAGATCACACAAGTGTGCCAGCATAGCTGACAACTTCCTTTTCCTAAAAGTATGGGCTCCTAACAGAACAAAATCCAAATGCCTTGGCATGCCATTTATATTCCTCTACAATATAGGTTTTTCCTATCTCGAAAGTCTTAATTTCCCAACCACTTCAATTTACTCTTGAACACATTTCATGCTGTATTTCTATGCCTCTGACATATTATTTCATCTGTGAAGCTCTATCCCCCTTGCTACCATTGTATATGCTTAGCAGATTCCTATCCACCCTCTAAGGCATAGTTCAAATGCTTCTATGTGAAATTTACCAGTTACTTGAAAGCACAGTAAGACACGCCCTTTTTAGGGACACCTCAGCACTGTACTTATTTGTGCTTAAGAACTTATGACATTGTATTTCTAATGATTTGTGTCAATCTCCTCCACTAGAAGAGCTCCTCAAGGGCAGGCTATGTTATTCATCTATGCATTCCCAGGGTCTAGACAATGCCTGGCTCAAGTAGAGGAGCTCAGGAAATGTTTGACAGGTGAAAGCTATCTGATGCTAGGCCCTTTGTCACCATAGCTGGAAAATCATACGAGAGCCCAGTAGCATATTGCGGCCCATTACCTGATGTTGCTATCCTCCAAACCACGGGAAACCTCCCCACCATCTCCCTCATAGGACATCATGCTTTCTTCATTTTCCATGCCCATCCTCGTATTCTCTTGAAGCACACGGGGCTGTTTGGGTCTTATACTGCCAGATCCCACATCAGAGTCACTTCCACTTTCACTTAGCTGAATAGCTGTAAAAAGACAGATTGTGGTTCATTATGAGATAAGCTTGATAGACTAGAGGTATGGCTCAGTGCTAGAGTACTGACTGCACATGTATGAGAGTACATTTTGAGCCACAGCACCAAAATAACAAAAACAAGAGCAAGAGAATGAAAAGTTCTTGTCAGAATTACCATCTTTAGACTAGTACTCTAAAACTAGTCTATATAGACTTCATGCCTATAGTCCTCACCTCTCAGGCCTCTTTTTAACTATCAAATGTCAGTAGTAGCACAATCTATAGTTTAGAAACTGAATGCAAGTGACTTATTTCTCCTATCTCAGTCGAATCTATCTGTTTTATATCATTTTCAATACCTTTACCTTACCATTGTAGTTATTTTTCTTAATTTTCCTTTCCTATTCCCAAACACAATCCTTCAAAGCTATTGCCTGGGCACTGCCTTTTCCACTGTTACGCCTCCTGTGTCTGGTTCATCTTCACTTCCCCCTTATGCTAATGAACATGATCATCCTCTGAGTGTGTTCAGTACTCTCAGGTCTAATGGGACTCCAATAAAAGGACAGATTTTTTTTTATAATAGCACATAATAAGTACCAAAGAGGTTTCCATTCAGTGAGCAATATAAAAGCAAAAGCAAAGGAGCAAGACTCACCAGAAAAAGGGTTATCTCCTTCTTCATCACTCCCAGCATCTTCCTCATCATCTTCTCCTTCAGACATAAGCAAATCCTCATACAGGACACTGGCTTGAGGCTGTTGTACAGTTCCTTCCTCTTCATCTCCAAGATCACCATCTCCATCTTCACCTTCCTAAACAAGTCCAGGTAGCAGTCCCATCACTGACTAAGTAAGATATCAGAATACCTTCTTTCCCCCACATTCCTTTTGCTGCCTCACAAGAAGTTAAATAATTGTGGATGGATTTGTCTAGCTCATTCTAAGGATTAAAGTCAGACTGAGGCTCACTATGGAAAAATTCTATGATATCATAACCTTGGGATTTGTCCTGCCCTGTACCACTTGGGGCTCCTATCATATAAATGTATAATGTAACCATAAGCTTTCTGTAAGCATACTCACTGGTGCTAGAGTCTTAGGTTTCCCATCCTCCTCATCATACCCTTCAATATCTATACCAGAGTCTTCCTTGCCCAGCCTACCTCGGCCCTGGCGAATCTGAGTAAGGAACACAAATAGCACATCATTGGGGGATGTGCCTGTAGGAGTTCTTTACCAAGGACAGATGTGTAGGGAGACATCGTAACCACGCCTAAGGGCCGGCTACAGGCATACTTAACCACGCCTGTCAGGGCGTGGTCAAGGGGTGTTCAGGATGACAAGTAGGAGGTTCTTAAGGGACCGAACACATGTGAAGAGCCATTCTCTCTGGCCTGGCTGCCTTGCTGCCCCTGGCATGCTCTGGCTTGCGTTTGGGCTGGTGTTTATCTGAATAAAGAAATCTTAGCCTTACGGGCTACGGATCATCTTTGAGCGCACGCAGCACACAATAATCTACACAGATGCTCTTCCCTGATATCCCAGCCAACCCCACTACTAGTGGAGGCTGTTGACACAGCTCAAGGCATGTGCATTACCCCCCAGTCTTTCTTTGGAAATAACAGACAGGGAATAAAAACCAAAGAACAGGAACGTTTTTTGGTCTACTCTTAACTGTCATCAGAAGGGAATATTTCCTTTCTTTTTTCTTTTTTTTTTCTGAGACAGGGTTTTTCTGTACTGCTTTGGAGGCTAGCCTTGAACTCAGAGATCCGCCTGCCTCTACTTTCCCTCTGGAGTGGTAGGATTAAAGGCGTGAGCTACCAACGCCCAGTGGAATGTTTCCTTTCTAACTCAAGCTTTTGAGATAGAAAATCCTTCTGGGTTTTGTACTCTTTCATGGAACCTTTCGAATAGGTACAGCTTCAGATGAAAAGTAGGTTTTGCTACCTCTGGCAAAAGCCAGTTTAAAAAATTATATATAATTTTATTTTGGTTTATAACTTATAAGATGCACAAAATAGTACGCCCATTGTTGCCAACCCTGTCTCTGAATGCAGCTGGTCTTTCTAGTCAGTCACCTAGTAGGCTGCTCTGATGCCTCAATACTTTCCCTGAAGTTCTGTTGTGCTTAATTCTGCCAACCATGCCTCAGAAATCAAATTTCAAAGCCTTGTTTTCAGGGCCAAGGATCTAGCCATCCTTCATGTATGCATGGTATTAGTTCATCCCTCCACATTCACCCATCAGGCAAACCACCAATCTCACAAAGAGAAATAACATCCTACCTGGGTTAGCTGCTTTTCTGAAGTAGCATTGGGAATATCCAAAACAGACATATTGCTCTCATCTTGATATACAGAGGCATCTCGAGAAACACTGAGGGATGTACTGTTATCATACAAATCGGGAGGCTGTGGCATAAAACATACAACTTAGTTTCTACCAAGGAAACAGCTAGAAGAAATACAAAGAAGTCTCCTTTATAACATTCACTGAAGAAAAGGACATGTAAGACAACCCAGTTAAAGAGGAAACACAATTTGGTACAGCTTTGTAGACAAATTTTTAGAATCCTACAAATGACTTCCACTCTAGCACATTGAAATCTAGTGTATGTGTTCAGAAACTAAAGCAGAAATGCATAAAGCTTAGGGACAAATTTATATACTAACAGCCTCTTTGGTCAGTAACCTACTTTCTTGTTCTAAGCCTTCCCTTTTTTTTTCCTTCTTTTCGAGATAAGATTTCTCTGTAGCTTTGAAGGCTGTCCTGGAACTAGCTCTGTATACCATGCTGGCCTTCAACTCACAGAGATCTGCCTGCCTCTGCTTTCTAAGTGCTGGGATTAAAGGTGTGTGCTACCACTGCCTGGCTCCCCTTGCTGTTTTTAAACTCAGAGATTAATATTAGTGATAGTTTTATTGACTTAGAGGCATATAAGAAGAAACTGAATAAAAGAATTTAAATTTCAACAAGGACATGGAATGGTTTGACAGTTCACAAGCTTACAGATGATGCTTCTAAGCAAAATGGTTTGTTAAAAACAAAACAAAGCTTGAGCTTTGAAGTAACCAGCCCTGGGATTGAGTCTTGGCTCTACCACTGTTAATCATCCTGTTTTCCTCAACTGTAAAACAAGGATGATAGTTATCTACCTCATAGGCTTGTTAGGAGCTATGTACCAATACTTGGTACTTGATAGATCCCTCTCTTATTGCCCCTGAAAAGAACAGGGTTTTAGCAAATGGATTCTAGTCAATGGTAGGAGGGACTAGATAAAATATTCATGAAGTTTTAAAGAAAAATAGTATCCATCAATTTCACTTTTAAAGTATATTTACAGACATAAACACACATACCACAGATATGAAGAAACTCAAAATATTCAGTGGTTCATAATAACACCTCTTCTTTGTATATTCCAATTTCCTTTTTTATGCAGACAGGGTTTCTCTGTGAAAGGGTCCTGACTATCCTGGAACTCATTCTGTAGACCAACCTGGCCTCAAACTCAGAGATCTGCCTGCCTCTACCTCCCAAGTACTGGGATTAAAGGTGTGCATCACCACCACCCAGCTCCAATTTTCTTTTTTTGAGACAGGGCTTTTCTGTGGCTTTGGAGGCTGTCTTGGAACTAGCTCTTGTAGACCAGGTTGTTCTCAAACTCACAGAGATCTGTCTACCTCTGCCTCCTGAGTGCGGGGATTAAAAGCGTGCACTACTACCGCCCAGCTCTCCCAATTTTCTTTTTTTAAAAAAGATTTATATATTTATTTTTAAAAATCATGTGTATATGTGCATGCTTGAGTATGGGTTTGAGCATGTGACTGCAGTGTGTATAGAGACCAGAAGAAGGTGTCAGAAATTCTGGAGATGGAGTTAAAACAGCAAGCTACACAATGTGGGTGCTAGGAATGAAACTCAGGTCCTCTGAAAGAGCAGCAAGCACTCTCTCCAGCCCTAGCTTGTAATTTTCTCCAATCATCGTGTTACTTTGATCAATACAAAACCTGCTTATGAGCAAGGAATAGGAGTCCAATCCTGTAGCTCCAGCACTAGAAAAGTTTAGTCAGGGAGATCACAAACATGGGGCCAGTCTGGATCACAAGACCAGACCCTGTCTCAAAGAAACAAATGCATGCCCATATGTATTCCTCTGTAAACAAGTAAGTAAACAACACTGACTGAGAACATTTGAGTTTCCAAAATAGAGGCAAAACAGGTTTAAAGACAGATAAGTGCACAGATAAACCAGTATGTAACATAAGGGAAAATCAGGAACTTTCTGCAAAGTTTTAAAGTGTAGTATGAAAATAAAGAGGATTGTGGGAAATTGTAAAATGAATAATTCCAAAGTATTGAGCTCAGTGCAAGCTCGGTAGAAATATCCAGGTGCAAATACATTATTGATTCCCATCATTTGAAGGTGAAAATAACATGATTAACTGCCATGCTTCTATACAATCACAACTGTATTATGATAGGTTAATCTTTTTTTTGTTTGTTTGTTTTTTTGTTTTTCGAGACAGGGTTTCTCTGTGTAGCTTTGGAGCCTATCCTGGCACTCACTCTGGAGACCAGGCTGGCCTCCAACTCACAGAGATCCGCCATGATAGGTTAATCTTACATAGACACTTTCTAATAGTTTTGATTTTATATAGTAATGAGTAAGGGTGATCACACATGAGGCTCTTCCTTGAGTTAACAGGCAATGCCTTGGCTATCTTAAAATGCATACACATAAATAAAGGGAATGATGAGAGCATAAAGTGAAAAGAATGAAACAGTACTATCCATACCATACTCTCCATAGGAAACTCACTAAGTATACCAAAATAGCTATTGATCAGCAAAGACAAGACTTTGATTCACCAATGGTCTCAGCTTATGACTGTCCAAGACCTGAGAAAAGCACATGCCACTTGGTGGTTAGATTATTATGGAGAATGATGGCTAGTACCCAAGCTTTAACTTACCAGAAAGTACCTTGTAGAAACTGTGAGCCTATTAGCAAACAAGGCCTTCCTTGGCAACATCACTCACCCAAGCCCCCTTGACCCAATCTGCCCATACAACTCCAAGAGCCTTTCCTTGTTCTGGACCTTGAAGAAGTATCTGAGGGTTCTTTATACCTGGCCCCTCAGTAACCTAGGTTTTGGGATGAAAGAGAGAGTAAAAGATAGATAGAGAAAGTGTACGAATGAGACAGAGAGACAGCAAAAATCCAACAGAGATCATGTATGCTGCATTTAAATTCAGAGTGAAATCTGGATAGAATGGAAAATAATCCTATGGGAATTGGAAGAAATTCTGCATTAAAGTATTTGGTTAAATTTTAAAGAGTCTCTGGGAACTTTAAAAACAACCAAAACAAAACAAGAAACCTTCATACAAAGAAGGAAACATTTACTGAATGCCTATCATGTACCATACAAACTAATCATTGAATGTTGGAAAGCACATCTTAGAGAAAAGGGAATAGAAATGTTCATTTTTCAATATCGCAAAACTAGACAGTAGCTGAGCTGAGACTCATACCCAGGACTGTTTTACATCAAACCTCATGTCCTTTCCACTCTACCACTGTGTCTCCAATAAAGAAACCAAGGACCTGTTAATATTCCATTTAAAGTCCATTCTTCAAATATGCCAACTTTCTCAGACTGTAACATACAGGAAATACTCAAAGGGTTCATTCAGTCAGACCAGAAAAACTAAAAAAATTCTTATTTACTAACAAGAATTTATTAGTCTTCTAATGTACAAACTTAAAATATAAAGTCTTCATTTAGTAGAAAAGGAAATTAACCCAGGAAATTGAGTGATGTAAGATATGCTGACATACCTCTAAGGTAATGGTAATCAGGTATCTAGAAGATACAAGATATGGCACATCTGTAACTGAGCAACCAACATTCTAGGGATGTCCTAGAACCCCAAAATTTACTGACAAGAGAACTGCAGACCTAGAGGATACCACTTGCTATAGTAGTCAGGAATCTGGTATTCTCATACACTGTCTATAAACAACCACCCCACTCATTTATCCCATAGTTGCCTCTTCTGGGTTTAACAAGGCCAAGAAGGTACATGGCCCTCACTCACCTTAGCCTTTGAGAAGACAAGAAAGCACACGAAAGGCATATGAAGAGGAAGGACAGAGAAGAACGGTATCTCAGTAAACACATCTATTAACATGCTCCCAATTTCCCAAACCATAAGAAAACTGCAAGAAATCCCTAATCCTTTGGCTCACCTGAGGTGTGTAAGGTCCTGGAGTCATTGGGTCAAGGCTTTCTAATTCTGCTTCCTCCAGAGCTGCTTCTTTAGCTGTACAAATATCTTTCTCAAGTTGAGTCAAATGTTCATCATACTGAGAAACAATAAAATTAATGAATTCATTCAACATTTAGGTAGGCAAAAATAAAACACATGCACGCATGCTCGCTCGCACACACAATCCCCGTCTTCAGACTGTTTCTATTCTAACAGCAGAACACAGCTGATAACCTAAACAAAGCAGAGAAAGAAACGATGGAATGAGGGTAGAAGATGGAATATTACAATGGAAAGAAAACAGGGTAGTCAGGAAAGCTTCAAATTCAAGGATACAACAGAAAAGTTTCAGGGAGCTAGATCTCCTTAACCACCTACCTCAGTTAATGTCTGGTAACAAACATTCACAATCTCCTGAGCAGTCTTAGTATACTGACTCTCAGGCCCTATGAAAGAAGTAAAATGTCATTACCTTTGTAATTTCAAGAATTCTGTATTTCTTCAACACACTGATTTAACACATTGTGCTATTCATTGATTTATTTAATTCAATTGCTGGGAATTGAACTCAGGACCTCTGGAAGAGCAGTCAGTGTGTAATCTTGGCTGTCCTGATACTCACAATGTAGACCAGGCTGGCCTTGAACTCATAGAGATCTGCCTGCCTGTGCCTCCTGAGTGCTGGGATGCACTACCACCACCCAGCTAAAATTTATTTTTCTGTGTTATATATGTGGGTGTTTCACTTACATACATTTCTGCATGCCTGGTATCCAAAGAGGCACAAAGAGAATGTTGGAATGGAGTCACAAATGGTTTTGGGTTGCTATGCAAGTGCTGGGAAGTTTACCCAGATCCTCTGGAAAAACTGCCAGTGCTCTTAATTACTGAATAATCTCTCCAGCCTCATACATTGCAATTCAAAAACAAGAATTTTATACTTTGTTATCCAATAGTTTATCATTATTTACCATTTAGAAAAACCTATTTGGAAACTTGGACCCCTCCCCTATTTTTATTTTTTGAGACAGGATTTCTCTGTGGCTTTGGAGGCTGTCCTGAAACTAGCTCTTGTAGACCAGGCTGGTCTTGAACTCACAGAGACCCCCCTGCCTCTTCCTCCCGAGTGCTGGACTAAAGGCGTGCACCACCAACGCCAGGCTTCTCTACTTTTATAAATGAAAAATTGAATTTGATTTTTGGATTGTTTTGTTTTTTGAGGTAGGGTCTCACTATGTAGTTTTAGCTCTCTTGGAACTCATTATATAGACCAGGCTGGCCTCATAGAAATCCACCTGCCTCTGCCATCATACCTAGCTAGCTATTAGTGGAAAACTTTAAACTTACACAATCAGACTAATCAGTATCCCAATTCGCCAGCTTTATTTTTTTTCTTTTTGTGTTTTTCGAGACAGGGTTGTGAGCCACCATGTGGTTGCTGGGAATTGAACTCAGGACCTCTGGAAGAGCAGTCAGTGCCCTTAACCTCTGAGCCACCTCCCCAGCCCGTTTTGTTTCTTTTGACACAGGGTTTTTCTGTGTAACAATCCTGGCTGTCCTGAAACTCACTTTGTAGACCAGGTTAGACTCAAACTCAGAGATCCTCCTGCCTCTCTGCCTCTGGAGTGCTGGGATTAAAGGCATGCGCCACCAATGCCCGGCTTGAGACAGCATTTCTATGTGTAGCTCTGGCTGTCCTGTAACTCACTCTGTAGACCAGGTTGTCCTTGAACTCAGAGATCCAACTGCTCCTGCTTCCTGAGTACTGGGATTAAAGGTGTGTATCACCAAGTTATTGCAGGCTCAGAGCGATGACTCAGTGGTTAAGAGCATTTGTTCTGCAAACCTGAACACTAGTCAGATCTCAGTCTAGCAAATACATGACAAGGTGAGAATCCCCCCAAACACCTATAATCCCAGATCTGAGAAGAACAGAGACAGGAGGATTGCTGGGACTTGTTCTCCTGTAGTCTATCGAGACTTCAGGAAGAGAACCTACCTCAAAGGAATATACAGAGAAAGAGAGAAGATATCCAATACCTTTTAGTCTTGGTGTCTGCACATAGGCACATGAACACATACACTTTCTTTTTTTTAAAGTGAGACATTATATATGAACTTAAAACGATCAAGCTTTCATGTGCTGGTCACATAATGACAGAGAAAAACTAATAATAACACCAGTTTCTGTATACTGGCTCTTATTCCTACAAGGACACCATTTAGAAATTCAGCCTTTATTCAGTTTTGACATGTAAATACAGATCAATCTCTCAACATGTCAATACAAGGGCAATTAGTTTTACATGTTTGCAATGTTTCTCTCTGGAAATCATTTTGAAAAGATCTCTTTCCTTCAGAGAAACCCTGTCTTGAAAAAACAACAACAAAAAAATCTCTTCCCGTCCCCACTTCCTTTGAAACAAATGCCTCTAAAGAAATACTCACTAGCCGGGCGGTGTTGGCACATGCCTTTAGTCCCAGCACTCAGGAGGCAGAGGCAGGCGGATCTCTGTGAGTTCGAGACCAGCCTGGTCTACAAGAGCTAGTTCCAGGACAGCCTGCAAAGCCACAGAGAAACCCTGTCTTGAAAAAAAAGAAAGAAAAGAAATATTCACTAATAAATGCCTCTAGAACATAAAAAAATTTACAAATGATTTCCCTTACCTATGTTTTTTTTTTTTGCAGATTTTTTTATTTGAGTTAGAAACAAGATTGTTTTACATGTCAATCCCAGTTCCCTCTCCCTCCCCTCCTCCCCTACCCCCCCCAACTAAAATCCTACCTATCCCATCCCCTTTCTGCTCCCTAGGGAGGGTGAGGTCTTCCATAGGCGGTCATCAGAGTCTATCATATCCTTTGGGATAGGACCTAGGCCCTCCGCCGTGTGTCTAGGCTTAGAGAGTATCCCTCCATGTGGAATGGGCTACCAAAGTTCATTCATATACTAGGGATAAATATTGATCTACTACCAGAGGCCCCTAAAAATACTATTCTATATCTTGAAAAACATGGGAGCTTACTAAAAGTAGTAGGATCAGTTTTACAGCTTTGGGGAAAAAAACATGAAGAGACAAGCAAAGGTAACAGGGCCTCTCTGGGAACAAAAAAAAAAGTAATGGGGCTACTGGGAGGGAGAATTAAACAGAAATCGAAGTACAATTTCCCAAACCCTAAAAGGAAAACCACACACAGTTGTTTCCAGAATGGTGCCATAATTACCATGAAAAATAAGATAAATTATCACCCTACCCAACAGGTTAAGTTACCCACTAACAAAAAATTGAGCATATTTCACTATTTTTATCAACTCATGGCCAAAGAAATTGTAAATGTCTTACTGAAAAAAGTATTTGCTTAGATTTTACCCAGTTAAATAAAGATTTGCAAAGCCTCGAGAATCACATGCAATTCATACCCATATTGAAATTACCATAGTGGAAAAAAAAAGAAATTACCATAGTGTAATTTGGTAATGTGGTAATTTCAATGACTGCTCCAGGAAACCAACATGTCACTAAGCTAAAAAAAAATTATTTTCCCCCATGCTTACAGTGATGTAAGGAGAAGCAAACAAAGCAAGAAGGGAAAGCAAGCATTACTATTGCTAGATAGTTGTAAAGTTTCAAAGAAAAATCACCTGTAAGCAGGTTTGTGATTACTTCTAGGCTCACAGTCCCCTTAATACCATTTTTACGATACTAGAAATAATTCCCTCCTAAGAAAATGAGTATGCAAAAAAAGACCCAAACAAAACAAACAGAAAATAATATCAACACTTAAGAAGCAGAGGCCAGCCTGGTCTACATAACAAAATTCTGGGCCAGCCAGTGTTATATAGCAAACATGACATGCATGCCTTTAATTCCATTTCAAGAGGCAGAAGCAGGCAGATCTATGTGAGTTCAAGACTAGCCAAAACTACAAAGTATGACTTATCTCCAGCAAACAAACAAACAAAATAGTAAAAGAGGCTATTACTAATGAGGTTTATTACTTTTATTTTTTGAGACAGGGTCTTGCTTTGACTGGCCTGGGACTTACTATGTAGACCAAAATCTGCCCAGTTTTTTAACCTTTCAAATGAACCATCACAATCCCTTTCTCACCTCAAATCTCTAGAATTATAAAAAATAGTAATATGGAGACCCCAAATATATTTTTTGATTTACTTTTTTTGTGACAGGTCTTTACTATGTTGCCTAGGCTTGTCCTGAACTCCAAAGTTCAAAGTACCTTAGTTAGTTAGGATTCTATGGGCATGCACTATCATGGCTTGCTTAAATATTTATTTTAAGCACTTAGTTTAAAATAGATGCAGTAGTCTATATAGGAAATTCCAGGCTAGCCAGAGCTATATAGTTAGACAGTCTCAAAAAAAATAAAAAAAAGCAGGACGATCTTTAAGGTTTTTGTTTTGTTTTAGACAGAGTCTAACCATGTAACTCTAGCTGGCCTCGCCTGGAACTCACCACCTTGTTAGCCTCTCAGAGAACTGCCTGCCTCTGTTTATAGAGTGCTGAGATTAAAAGCATGCTACTACTATGCCCAGCTCAAACTTCAAATTTCAATAAAGCATGCAGTACTACAAAAGTGTAGCAAAAGGAACCACCGATAAAGAGTGACAAGGAACACTTCATTTAACTTTTTATTCAGTGATGAAACACTAACTGCCAAACCCAACTCCCCAGACTTGATTTTAGAGGCCCTCTTACACATGAAATTAACACTTCGGTCATTCTACAGTACCACCTCACTTTCTGGACACTGTACCTCTATCTTTACCCGTTTGGTTTTTCTTTCTAATATTTATTTTATGAAGCCAGAGAGGTGGTTCAGTGGTTCTATAATATTGTCTTTTTGTTATTGTTTACTTTTGATAGAGTCTCACAATGTAATCCTGGCTGGCCTGGAACTCTATGTAGAACTCAAAGAAACCTGATGTCTCTGCTTCCTGAGTGCTGGAAATCAAGGTGTGAGTCACTACAAGGCTTTCCTTAATGAGGCAGTTCAACTCTAATGTCCCATTTTTTTCCCCTGAGACAGAGTTTCTCTGTGTAATAGCCCCAGCTGTCCTGGAACTGTCTCTGTAGACGAGGCTGGCCTTGAACTCAGAGATCCACATGCCTTTGCCTCCCCAGTGCTGGGATTAAAGTCATCGACACCAATATGTTTTTCTAATGTCCTATTTAACACAGACACAGACCCCCCCCCCCCCACACACACACACAGACAGAGATACAGAGTGTGCATTCTATCTGGTCCAAGTATGAACCAAGTATGAAGATATCAATTCTATTTTCTTACTATCTGTATAATCTGCCCAACCTTCCCAATTCTTTTTTCCCTTTTTAAAATTTAAATTAGAAACAAATTTGTTTTACATGTCAATCCCAGTTCCTTCCCCCTTCCCTCCTCCCTTAACTTCTAGGGACCCCACCTTCCCATTCTTATTGTTTCTTTGTGTTTTGTTTTGCTTTCTTGAGACCAGGTCTCTCTACAGAGTCCTGGCTATCCTTGAACTCACAGAGATCTGCCTGCCACTGCCTTCAGAGTGTCAGAATTAAATGCTTGTGCAACCATGCCAGGCCTTCTTCCTACTTCTTTTTTTTTTTTTTTTGGTTTTTCGAGACAGGGTTTCTCTGTGGCTTTGGAGGCTGTCCTGGAACTAGCTCTTGTAGACCAGGCTGGTCTCCAACTCACTGAGATCCGCCTGCCCCTGCTTCCGGAGTGCTGGGATTAAAAGTCGTGTGCCACCTACGCCCAGCTGTTCAGAGTTTCTTTACTGGTCTCCAAATCTCATTCACCTCCACTACATTATTTGGATAACTTCCTAAACAGTATTACTAAAACTATATCCCTCTTCCCTCCTACTGGGTTAGTGTGACTTACTGGGCCTTTCATAATTTCGGTCTTATCTCCCTTGTCTCATTTTGCAATAAAATCAAACTTATTTGTACTTCCTCATCCAAAGCACTTTGGATATGTTTTTTTTTACATTTGGTCTCTATCTGGAACTTCATCATCCTTCTCTTCTTGATGATCTATTCAGCATAGTAGGTGCTCAGTATTAACCACAACAGCCAACATCCCTTAACACTCAGTTCAAAAATAAATTCCCACTGGGTGGTGGTGGTACACGCCTTTAAACCCAGCACTAGGAGGCAAAGGCAGGCAGATCTCTGTGAGTTCAAGGCCAACCTGATCTACAGAGCAAGTACCAGGACATCCAGAGCTTTTATACAGAGAAACCCTATCTCAAAAAACAAAACAAAACTGAGCAGACTAAATGGTTTGGTGCCAAGCCTGACAACCTAGGTTCAGTCCCTGGAACCCACATGGTGTGAGCAGAGAACCAACTCTCCAAGTTGTCCTCTAACCTCCAAAAACATTCAGCACTCCCACTTTTTTTGTTTGTTTTTTTTTCAAGATTGGGTTTCTCTGTATTTGGAGGTTGTCCTGGAACTCGATCCTCTGCCTCCAGAGTGCTGGGATTAAAGGCGTGAGTCACCAACGCCTTGCAGCACTCCTACTCTTACAACATACATATAAATGTAAAAACAGCCAGGTGTTGGTGGCGCACGCCTTTAATCCCAGCACTCTGGAGGCAGAGGTAGGGGGATCTCTGTGAGTTGGAGGCCAGCCTGGTCTCCAGAGCGAGTGCCAGGGTAGGCTCCAAAGCCTCACAGAGAAACCCTGTCTCAAAAAACCAAAAAAAAAAAAAAAAAAAAAAAGTAAAAACAAATTTTTAAAAAGTAAACCAAGTTATTTGACTTAGCTATCACTGCTCAAAGCGGCTTACACCCTTAAAATCTTAATAAGATAAATTAATGCTGGATAGATAAAACTGCTAAAAAAGGAAAAAAGTAAATACCCACCATTGTACTTAACACTGTTGGCCAGAATAAGGTTTACATCATCTAGAAAGCTCTCTCGACTCTGGTATTTGTGCTTGGAGATATTCTATGATAAAAACAATCAGGCACTCAGCTATATATATATATATACACACATATACATATACATATATATATAAACATTGATTATAAAAAGCCATTGGTTATAAAAATCACTAACCTTACGTATAGTCTCCAAATCCATTGGACTGACAATCACTTTGTAATAATCTGGAACAAACTTCTTATTAACTGGGTGATGAAATGGCCAAGACTAATAAAAAGAAAGTATGGCAGTTAAATGAAAACCACTATTTATATCATAGAGTTCCAAGTTTCATTGAGTTACAAATTTCTGATGAAAAGTATAGACTCTTTCCACAGAAATACAAAAGCTCACAAAAAATTCTCTGTAATTTAAGGGTCTTATTAGGGATACTTACACACTGATTTCAAAGTAAAAATCCCTCCTTTAAACTTAACAACTAAAATCTTATTTCTGCATTAAAGACTAAGTTCTGCAAAAGTAGCCAGGCAGTGGTGGTGCATGCCTTTAGTCCCAGCACTTGGGAGGCAGGAGCAGGTGGATCTGTGAGTTCTACACCAGCCTGGTCAACAAGAGCTAGTTCCAGGACAGTCTCCAAAGCCACAGAGAACCCTGTCTCAAAAAAAAAACAAAACAAAATGATAGATAACTTTGCCATAAAATATTGAACAAAAAGGGAAAAAAGGAAAACAAACATTGAGTAATTATTGAGGTGGCTTGTTTTATTTATTTGTTTACTTATTTTTTATGGATAGGCAAAATGGCTCAGTGGGTAGAGGTGATTACCAATAAACCCAAATGACTGAGTTTAATTCCTGGAAACCACAGGACAGAAAGGGGTTCCAATTCTCTGAGGTTTTGTTTTTTTTTTCTTCCCCCCTTTTTTCTTCAGAGACAGGGTTTCTCTGTTTAAAAGCTCTCACTGTCCTGGAACTTACTCTGTATACCAGAGTGACCTCAAACTCAGAAATCTGCCTGCCTTTGTCTCCCAAGTGCCTGTAAAGACAGGCCCTATTGTGTAGCCCTGGCTGGCCTTGAATTCACAAAGGAACACTTGCTTTCTGCTTCCCAAGTGCTAGAATAAAAGGTGTGCCACCACACGCAGCCAAATTGCTCTGACCTAACACAAACCTTGGCTTATACCTTCCTCCACCACATGCATGAATAAATAAATGTAAAAAATGTTACTTGCATAGGAGCTTTTTATTTGGTTTTTCAGAGGTTGTCCTGGAACTAGCTGTTGTAGACCAGGCTGCCTCTGCCTCCTGAGTGCTGGGACTAAAGGCATGTGCCACCACTGCCCCACTACTGTATAGGAGCATTTCTAAATCAAGAATTTACAACTAGTTGACAGGTCTTCTCTCCCAGGCTATTCAAGAGCTTATAAATACTAAGTGCTGAGAACAGGAAGTAAGAATCTTTTAATATTCAAAGATACTTGGCATCTTTGCTTTCTTTCTTTCTTTTTTCTTTCTTTTTTGGTTTTGAGACAGGGTTTTCTCTGTGGCTTTGGAGACTGTCCTGGAACTAGTTCTTGTAAACCAGGTTGGTCTCAAACTCACAGAGATCCGCCTGCCTCTGCTTCCTGAGTGTTGGGATTAAAGGCGTGTGCCACCACTGCCCACTGGCATCTTTGCTTTCAATGATAATGAATATAGCAAAAGGTTAGTATTTAAAATTACATCCCAGTTACTATGGAAATACATCACTACATAGAATTTCTTAATATCCTACTTACTTCTTTTCATCCCCTAGTACTATCCTTACAATACTTGGCATGAATATTACTTACATCTGGAACTGCCATCATTTTCTGAGTGACAATGTTATCCAGAATAAAAGAAAACGCTACTTGGTCATCATCGTCAAGCAAGGGGTTGATAGCTTTCTCTAAACGTGCCAACTTATCCTCTTTCTGAAATAAAGCAAAATAAATAAAGGCAGTTTTCATGAAGTATGATCACCACAGAAAAGCTATAGATAATTTAAAGTTCAGCTAGCTGTCTATGACTTTAGTCCCCCAAAATTTACCTCTGAATTATCTATTATTCAGTTTCAGGCCAATCTAGATAAATGATACTTTAGCTAAAGAAACAACACAAATGGACATGTCAGCAAATCCCTTAAGTATTCTCTTTTGTTTGTTTTTTGAGACAGAGTTTCTGTGTAACAGCCCTGGCTGTCCTCGATCCACATGCCTCTACCTCCTGAGTGCTGGGTTTAAAGACGTACACTACCACACCTGGCTGGCTCCCTTAAGCATTCTACATGCCATTTTTTTTTAGCACCAAGAATAGAAAGCTCAAGACATCACTAGTTTAACTAGAATAACAAAAACATCTTTGGCAAATCAGGCTTTAATAACATTGTCTTTTCTATAAATTGAATGGTGAAAATACAGAACAAACATTATCACTAGTTAATGGCTCTCTTTGTTTTTCTTTTTTAAAAAGATCTATTTATTTATTATGTGTACAGTGTTATGCCTGCATGTATGTCTCATTACTGGATAGCTGTGAGCCTACAATCATGTGGTTGGTTGCTGGATATTGAACTCAGAACCTCTGGAAGAGCAGTCAGTACTCTTAACCACTGAGCTATCTCTCCAGCCCTCTGTTTTTCTTTTCTTTTCTTTTCTTTTCTTGTTTTTTCGAGACAGTTTCTCTGTATTGCTTTGGAGGTTTTCCTGGAACACAAACTGTAGACCAGGCTGGCCTCGAACTCACAGAGATCCGCCTGCCTCTGCCTCCTGACTGCTTTGATTAAAGGCGTGTGATACCAACGCCTGGCTCCATTTTTCTAATAGGGTATGTATCCTATGTATCCCAGGCTGGCTTCCCATTCAGTATACAACCTCAGCTTGATTAGTGACTAGTACAAAGGAAACTTAGTCCCAGCACTTGGGAGGCAGAGGTAGGTGGATCTCTGTGAGTTTGAGACCAGCCTGGTCTACAAGAGCTAGTGCCAGGACAGCCTCCAATCCACAGAGAAACCCTGTCTCAAAAAACCAGAATTTTTTTTTCAGTCTGTGTACTATGAAAATCTGTCTTCTCACTGTCTGATACTTAGTCTAGTTAGCCCCCACCCTCCCTTTGAGACAGGGTCTTCTAAGTCACAGGCTAACCTTGAACTTGAATATTGCCACAAGTTACCTTGAATTTCTACTTCTACTTCTCCTGTGTACCAATATTGAATATCCACATTGGATACAGAACTTTAACCTTCTAACAGATACAGATGAATCTAATTGGCGTGTGTTTTTAATTTTGAGACTGGGTCTCAACATATAGCCTGGGCTGGTCTGAAACTTGTGTTTATCTTGCCTCTGACTCCCAAGTGCTGCCATTACAGGTATGTATTACTATGCTCAGTTAACTGTGGCTTAAACATGCAATTTATGTCAATCAAGTTGAGAAAATTTTCCATGTTTATCAAACATGTTCTCTTGTGAAATATCTATATCAGTATCAACTTCATTATTATCTGTGCTTTTGTAAGGTATAAGGTACCACAATCTTCTTTGTTAAGAATAGGGGTTTATGGGGCTGGAGAGATGGCTCAGTGGTTAAGAGCACTGACTGCTCTTCCAGAGGACCTGGGTTCAATTCCCAGCAACCACATGGCAGCTCACAACAGATGGGGGTTGTCCTTCTGTATATGTTTCTTTTATTGGTTAATGAATAAAATCCTGTGGTCAATAGAGGCAGAGAGATAGGCAGGAGGAGGGAGGAAGAGAATTCTAAGAAAGGTAGGTAGGAGAGCCCACCAGTGATTAGACACCATGTGAAACTGGAAGAGAGGATGCGCCAGGTGTTCTCTGGTCAGGTAAGAACATGTGGAAATATTCAGATCAATAGAAATGGTTAATAATTAAGACAGAGCTAGCCAATAAAAAGTCCTAGCTACCAACCAAGAGATTTATAATTAATATAGCGTCTGTGTGTTTATTTGGGGATGAGAAGGGCAGCAGGACCAGGCTACAAGAACCTCTTGTTACACACAACTGTCTAACTCCAGCTCCAGGGGACCCAACACCTTCACACAGACATACGCACAGGCAAAACACCAATGAACATAAAAAAAGCAATAGGGGCTTACAGAATTCGTTTTGATTTGGGGCTTACAGAAGGTCTGAGGCTGTAACTTTAGTGTTAGAATGCTTACTTAATATGGCAAGATCTGGGTTCAGTTTCTAGCTCACAGGGGAAAAAACAGCCAACAAGATGGAAGACACATATTATCCTTTAATTTTTTAAAAAGATTTATTTATTTATTTATCATGTATACAGTGTGTGCCGGAAGAGGGCACTCACTGTATACATTACAGATGGTTGTGAGCCATGATGTGGTTGCTGGGAATTGAACTCAGAACCTCTGGAAGAACAGTCAGTGCTCTTAACCCCTGAGCCATCTCTCCAGTCCACCTTTAATTTTTTTAGATTACTTTTTAAAAATTAAACTGTCTTTAGGTCTAATGGCTCAGACAGACCTATAATCCTAGAACTTAGGAGGCTGAGGCGGAAGGAACACCGTGAACTTAAGGCCAACCTATTAGACACAGTGAGTTCCAAGCAAGCTTGAGCTAGATAAGGCTCTATCTCAAAAATAATTTTTTTCAATATGATTCCCTGGTACAGCAATGAGTTGTAATGTGAGTTACAGGAGATCTCAATTTTCCGTCTTCCTTTCTAAAGTTATATCCAGTTTGAGATCCTAATCCTAGCATGATTCCAGAGCAAGTAATTTTCTTCTTTGTACTTGGCTTTCCCATCTATAGAAGATACCGTCTATATAATATATAAATCCCTATCTGTCAAACGTACCAAAGATTTGCCATTCCCTCAGATACTGTTGCTTCTGTTAAATACTCTAGTTCCTAAACTCCACTATTCTCCACCTTCATATACCACAGCATTTCTCTTGTTTTTAAAAATCTATTTCAACTTTTGAGTCAAATTCTCATGTAGTTCAAGCAGCTCTAGAACTCAGTATGTAGCTGAGGATGACTTTAAGCTCCTGACCCTCCAGTCTTCAATCCCAAGTGCTAGGTGTATGTCAGTATAGGTGTATGTCAGTATGCCCACTACTTTCTCTTATTTTTCTTACCTCTTTGAGTTTTTCGTCACAGAGATCAAGCATAGATTGAGAAATCTGAGTCAGTGAGTGTTTCGGTCCTACAGCGGAATAAGAAATGGCCATTATAAATGGGAGCCCAAAGTTGCCATGTTTCCAACATTTAACACATTTACTAAACAACAACCTAAAAGGTCCCAGGCACCAGCTTAGTAACTGAGATATATTTTTTCCTTTTTATTTTTTATTTTTTTGGTTTTTTGAGACAAGGTTTCTCTGTGGCTTTGGAGGCTGTCCTGGAACTAGCTCTTGTAGACCAGGCTGGTCTCGAACTCACAGAGATCCACCTGCCTCTGCCTCCTGTGTGCTAGGATTAAAGGCATGCGCCACAAATGCCCGGCTTCCTTTTTATGTTTTTAAAGACAGAGTCTCTTGTATCCCAGGCTGGTCTAGAATTCAGTATATAGCTAAGAATGACATTCAACTTTAGATCCTCTTGTCTTTACTTTCTTGGGATTATAGGTGTACATCAGGTACAGACACCACCAACCAGTCTTTACTCCATTTTTTTGTTCCTAACATATAATGGGTAAACTATGAATGAATTTTAACTGCTTTTTATTTGTGTCCACACACACTTGTATTATAACTACTTTTTTGTTTGTTTTTGTTTTCTGAGACAGGGTCTCACTATGTAGCTCTGGCTGGCTCGGGACTTTCTATGTAGACAAGGGTAGCTTTGAACTCAGAGATCCACCTGTCTCTGTGTCTCCCTAGTGCTGGGGCTAAAGGCATGAATCAGCTCTATTGGGACTTTAATACCTTAAAAATCATTCTGTGGATGAAGAATGTATTTAAGAATGGTAACACTTATTGGAACATTTAAAATTTTTCTGCTTAGTAGACAGATTCTCCAGCACATAGACTATTATTTCGGTTTCCCAGAAATCCTTACCAGGAGCTTCAGAAAATTCTTTAACTATCTGACCTCTCTTGTACATTCTCTGCTTAAAGCTGTTCCATTTAATTAAGCTCATCTTTGGAATAATTAAAACATTTTTGTTCTTTTCAAGACAGGGTTTCTCTGTATTGCTTTGGAGCCTGTCCTGGCACTAGACATCACCTGCCTCTGCCTTCCAAGTGCTGGGACTAAAGGCGTGTGCCACCAACTCCTGGCTAATTAAAACATTTTTAAGCTGTGAGTCATGGACACACACCTGTAGTCACAGCACTTAAGATGCTTCAACCAGAGGACTAGGAGATCTGGGGTAACCTAGACTATATGGTGATAAGACCATCTCAAATCCAAAAAGAAATCTCCCCCCAACCCCAAAATATTTCCATCTAACTAGTATTCTTTTTTGTTGTTTTTTTTTTCTTTTCAGGACAGGGTTTTTTTGTGTAGTCTTGGCTGTCCTGGAACTTGCTCTGTCGACAAGGCTAGCCTTAAACTCAAGAGATCCTCCTGCCTCTGCCTTCCAAGTGCTGGAATTAAAGGTGTGTGCTAACACCACCCACCCTAACTAGTATTTATTTATTTCTTTTTTTGATTTTTCGAGACAGGGTTTCTCTGTAGGTCCTGGAACTCTCTTTAAAGATCAGGCTGGCCTCAAACTCACAGAGATCTGCCTGCCTATGCCTCCCGAGTGCTGGGGTAAAAGGTGTGTGCCATCAACGCCTGGATCCTAACTAGTATTTCTAACCACTTCTTTTCAGTATCATTTATTAGATTATCTTCTTCCATCTAACTGTTGTTAAGTGTCTACCCAGACAGAGACTTAACCTCAACCCTATTTATTTCAGCATTTTGTTATTCATTCAAATGTTTTATGCCTTGTGTAGAACACAGTCAATGACAGGAATATAAGGACAATTATGAGTTTCTATTATGGATGAAATGATATACTGTCAAATGTACATAATAAACAAGACTCACCACAAACTGACAATTGTAAAATTCAGTGAGTATATACACTAACATTTATCCCTCTTAAATTTCCACAATAAACTTAAACTATCAGTATAAATGAAATACATTGGTTGTACATAAGCTATAATCTATATCATTTTACATCAAATCTGTAATTGGAAACCAGGACTGGTGATGCAGGCTGGTAATTTTGGCTACACTGGAGGCTGAGGCATAGGTTGCAAGTTTAAAAGCAAGCTGGGCTACAAGAAAAGTTCAAGGCTAGCCCGTGCAACTTATCAAGATCTCATTCCACAATAAAAAATAAAAGGGGGTCTAGGATATAGCTAAGTAAAATAAAAAGAAAGGGAAAAAAATCTGCTTTGGGGAAGTAGGGAAGGCTTGTTCTGACTCACATCTAGGTAGTGATTAAAGAACAGAAGTCCAACAGGCAAACAACAGGGAAGGACATTCCAGAGAGAAGGAAAAGTACACAAAGACACAGAACTAATTAGTCAAATTCATAGAAACATTCTATAGTATATTTCATTAGGGTCACAAGTAGTTTTAATACCATTATAATAAAGGTAGGTGTGGGTAGGGGTGTGTGTGTGTGTGTGTGGTTTATGTGTGTCTGTATGTACTTGCACATATATAGGAAAGGACAAGAGATGAACTTGCAAAGTCAGAAGGGACCACATTAGAAAGTCTTATAGGCACTACAAAGCTACTGAGTACTTTAAACTAGTTAATGATGCTTCTTTTCTTTGTTCACTTTTATGGTACTTGGACATCAAACATATTAGCCAAGTACTCTACCTCTGAGCTATACCCGTCAGTCTAAGACAGTAATTTCCTAAATTTGAGTTCTAGGGGAGAATTGTCACCTTGTCAACAACAGGAAGAATTTAAGCATAAATGTTTGGAAGCTGTTACAATAGGTTAAACAAGAGATAACAAGGGCTTCAATTAAAGTAGCAATGGTGACAAGGAAAGGGTCAAGTTCCAAAAAATGCAGACAGTATACTTTATATAGGACTTAGTTATAAGTGTGAGGAAGAGAACATGGGATCAATTATGACTAAAATTTCTAGGTTGTACAACTAGGCAGTCAGCAAAACCATTTATCTACACAGGCAATCAGATAATGAATTTCCAGTAGGAAATGAAAACTAGTAATGTCTAGAAGACAATTTGAAGCAAGGGTTTGAAGTCTTGAATATATGTAGAGACAGAGAAGAAAGGGGCATCAGTAGATATTTAGTAGCTGAAGAAGTAATGAAAAAGAGTTAGAAGCTAGAGAGATGATTAAAAAAGTGATTAAAAGTGTGTACTGTTCTTATACTTCGGTTCCCAGCACCCATATCAACTCACTATTGCTTATAACGCTAGTTCTAGGGTGATCCAATGTTTCTGGTCTCTGTAGATACTTGCAATCACATACATACACCCAAACACATACACATAATTAAAACAATAAAGTAAATGCCAGGTGGTGGTGGTGCATGCCTTAAGCCCCAGCACTCAGGAGGCAGTGGCAGACTGATCTCTAAGTTCTAGGCCAGCCTGGTCTACAGAGTGAGTTCCAGGACAGCCAGGGATACACAAAGAAATACTGTCTCGGAAAAAACAAAAACAATTTTTTTTCAAGACAGGGTTTCTCTATTTAACAGTCCTATCCTGGAATTTGTTTTTATAGACCAGGTTGGCATCAAACTCAGAGACATCGGCCTGCTCCTACCTCTAGAGTGCTGGGATTAAAGGTGTGCGCAAACACTGCCTGGTCAAATAAAGAATTTCATGTCAATGTTACCACCACTATCATCAGCAGCACCGACACATGAAAAAGTCAAAAAAGTGAATCATAGAAAGTAAGGCTATAAAAAACTTTTTTTGCCACTAGGGAATGAAACTAGGACCTCATGCATACTGGTTAAGTGCTTTACTGCTGAGCTATTTCCTCCCAATGGGACTTTGTTTAAATTCTCTTTTTATTTCCTTCTATTTTTCTATTATGTGTATGCGTAAATGTGGGTAAATAAGCCATGGCACATGTGTTGTCAGGACAACTTTCAAGAGTCAGTTCTCTCCTTCCACTGTTGGTTCTGGGGATTGAACTCAGGTTGTGAGCCCCACATAGCAAGTACTTTTATCTGCTGAGCCACCTGGTTGGCATTATTTATTAATTTTGAGACAGAGCCTCATATAGCCCAACCTAGCCTTGAAGTTGCTATGTAGCCACCAAGGATGATCTTGAATTTATGATCCTCCTGCCTCTACTTCCCAAGTGTTGGGATTATAGGCATGTGCCACCATACCCAACCATATTCCTTGTACATGATCTGGTACTCAGCTCTGGATCGATAAACTTAAATAACAATATCTCTAGAAAGTAACAAACTGGGCTGGGTGGAGGTGGTGTACACCTTTAATTCCAGCAAAGGCAGCCTGATCTACTGGGTTAGTTACAGGAAAGCCAGAGCTGTTACATACAGAGAAACCCTGTCTCGCAAAAAAAAAAAAAGAAAAAGAAAAAAAAAAGAAAAAAGAAGTTACGAACTGGCCAGATATATCAGATATAAATAACTATGGGATAAGAGCTTTAAAGCTGACTGCACTTTGCTCAGTAACAATACAGAGGATCAAAAAACAGTTTTTTCAGCAATCTGATTAATCAGTCTTTTAGAAAGAATGATATGACTTAATCCGAAAATATGAATGGAAATTCACCATTGCAGGGAAGAAAGGGAACTTCAGAAAGAGGGAAAAGACTGTAAAGACACAATATGAAGAAGTACCATGGGATGTTCAAGTGAAATGTAACAGTGAGCATGGAAGCTAGTCATTGGAGATGAAATTTGGTGAATTTGGACTGGCTTGTGGAAAGCTTCAGAATGTAGATATTATTGTCCTGTTTATACATGAGAAAACAGAAGAGGTTAAGAGATGTTAAATAATGTATCCATCATAGCTCTATTGGTATTATCTACTCTGAATGCCAATACAAGTTTCAGGCTGGAGAGATGGCTCAGTGGTTATAATAGCACATTATGCTTTTCCAGAGGACCTAAGTTCTATTCCCAGCTCCCATTTCTAGGGGCTCACAACCTCATGTAACTTTGGCTCCAGGTGATCCAATGTGTATGGCCTCCAAGGGAACTTGCATATGCAGACACAGACACAGACACACAGACACACACAGACACAGACAGATACACACACATATAATTAAAAAATGATTGTTACTTCAATACTCAAAAAGTTGAATTCACATATCCATCACAAAAAAAGAAAATTGAACTGAAACTAGAAAAATGAATTAATGCAAACTGATTTCTGTAGGAAGCCGGTTCCTGCATTATAATGTTGCCTGAAGACACCAAGGTGTGAATTACTTCACAGGCGCTGGGTAATCTCCATTCCTTTGATCTCTGCCTATCCCGTGGCTCATTTTGGCCTGAGGAGCTAAAGCCATTCATAGGATAACACGTCCCAGGCGGCTGGTCAGCCTTTTATAAGGGATGGTTTTCTTAGTTTACTGTCTCTGCTCAGTCTCTGTTCAGTCTCCACTCTGGTAAAATGCATTAAAGCTTGTCTACAGAAGGATCCGAGTGTCCTGCGTGTATTTCTTGCTGGCGAGGAATACAGAGCGGGCGCGGGACATATGGTGCCGAAACCCGGGACGCTTAACATCTCCAGCACCACAGAGACCCCTTGGCTACAGGGCGGATTCAGAACTGCAGGATGGTAAATTTGGAGAGGTATGATTTTTCTGGACTTTGGCTTGGGACAATCTTAAAGAAGTCCAGAATTACATATCAGAAACCGAATGTAATGAGAGAAATTCGGAGAG